CTAGCTTGAAGGTATCTTTATATACTGATTGGACATGAGCAGAACTGTTTATTAATTCATACATCAGAGCTTGTGCTCCTACAACATAAGGTTCAGTCATGGCCATAGCTCAGAATTCTGCAAGGAGGATGTTTACTACTTCATGTTATAATTTTAAGAATCCTTTTACACTATTTATGTAAATAAATTAGAACAAGCATCACTGTTGTATACTTAAATACAATAGAAATCCCAGTCTTTGGTCATTGACAGCTTAGCAACTATTGAATTGTAGGTGAAAACAATAATAGGGTTCAGTGAGGCTGTTCATTAATTGATGATCACTTTAAAAGAACAAAAATACAGTATCATTTTATGTTGTAATAATGTATTTTGCTGTACTCATTACTTTAACATATACTAATACATAGAGCAAATCATTTCTTTTTTATTGACTACATTGTGGTCACATGACTAGTTCTACTTAGCCAATGCATCAGCATGCCTAAGGTGACAAGACCACATTCATATAATACTTAAAGATATGTTTGACTTTGATGGTTGTATAAAGAATCTGGCAACTAAATACATTTAGCTATTGTAATAATTTAGTATTGTAATATTGAAATTATTTGCTACAAAAATATTATGCTTATAGGTATTACTCTCCAGGCTCTGCCTGACAGAAATTCCATGATTATTCCATAATTATTGTGACAAAATTTATATGGAGTTTTATTATATAAAATGCCATGTTTGGAAAATGAGATACTGTCCCTACTGAGTCATTAAGATGATAGATGAAACATTACGGTGTGTGAATATGTTGAAATTCGGAATGATATAAGAACTTAGGCATTGATCAAAACCTGATTTTCTTTTTCTTTCTTTCTTTCTTTCCTTCCTTCCTTCCTTCCTTCCTTCCTTCCTTCTTTCTTTTCAAGTTACCAGTACTTTTTGGAATGAATATGTAAAATAATAATAGAACAGTCAATAGATTGCTTATTTTTGATAAGAATTTATATTAAATTCATAAATAATTTTATGAATTTTATGAATTTAGGACCCCAATCCTTTTTCCTTCTTTTGGATACCATATTATTGAAGTTGTTAAATCAAATACAATCTACTAACAAGGATTTTAAGGATTAAATAGTAAGAGCAACAATGAGAATACAGAAAAGGAATGGCTAGGATTCTTGGAAGATTTCTATTTCAGCATTTATGAACAGCTTTTTAAGCTGCGAAAGCTTGCAAATGAGGTTGCCAAACTCAAGATAGTTGAGTCTTTTCTTAAAAGTCAATGCAATTTAGAGATATAAGTGACAGGAGAAGGTAAGAAGTAAAATTTAGGAGAAAAAAGTGACTGAAGTGAATTTATAGTTCAATGTACCTTTTCCACAGAGATATAAGCTTGCCAAAATAAATTCACTTCTTAAGGAACTTTACATGAGTATCTAAGGTCAGAACCAGAATTAGAATTCAAGTCCCTATTGTCTGAGATTTAGGATATTATAATCTAACATTTCCAAATCACAGCAAAATTGCATTGTATCAGTGCCCTAAATACTTAGTAAGCTATTTATGTACCAGATAATGAAGCATTTTGTTCATATTAAAATAAGACAAACAAGACTAATGGATACAGCACAGAAATTTAGGAGATATTGAGCCAAAACACCAGGAAATTTAAATTGTTTGTTGTTTTATAAAAATGTTTTATTGAAACACTCTGAAAGAGAAGAGCATAAAATGTCCCATTTATGTCTCTTTTTTTAAGGGAAAAACAGAAACAATCCTTAGACAACTGCACTCAAATACATCATGATTTATCTATTTCTGGTGACTATTTTATTTTATTTTGGTTTTCCTTTTTGGTGACTAATTTGAATGACAAGAATACTAGGCTTATCCTTTTCCCTCCCTTGCCTGCCTGTCTCCTGCCTGCCTGCCTTCACATGTGACAGAGTATGATGTTAATATAGTGATTCAGCATTTACAATTTAAAGTAATCATTTTTCTGAGTACAATTCACAGTTGAATTTTTACCCGTGTAGTTACAGTGTAGGTTTTAATCTATGTTGTCATATAAAGAATAGTATGAAAATATCCATAGAATTAAGTGGTCTTCCTAGGCAGGCTCCACTTCAGAGATCTATAGATCATGAAATATCTAAGGCTATTCTATTAGGAAAACAAATTTTAGGATGAATCTTTTAAGAAATAAATCTACAGCAGAAATGCAAACCAAGGGATGTTGGGTCTACACACAGATTCTAATGAAATCTCACAGTCAAGCAATTCAAAACAATTATTTAATATTGACTAAGAAAGCCACCTGTATTCCTTTATTGTTTGTCTCCTACCCTACCCAGCATGACAGATCCATGTAAACACATCAGCTTTTTCCATCAAGATGGAATCTCATGGACTTTCTGCCTGGACTGGTCTGGAAATGTGATCCTCTAGACCTTAGCCTCCTACATGGCTTAAATGACAAGTGAATGTCATTACAGGTAGCTATTGGTTGAGAAGAGATCCCAACTGGACTGGTTTCACATCCTGATTATCTTTGCCTAAGCCTCTCAAATGGCTGCGAGTGCAAGTATGAATCACTAGCACCAGCTCAGAATATTTTTGAACTGAAAATTGGACAGCCTTGCAACTGGCATTTGTTTTGACATACTTTCTTGTCTTTACTCAGCTCATCTTCATTGAGTGTGCTATGTAATCTAGATTTCTAGTGTTTCCTTCTACTATGTATAATAATTACTAAGGTACCTGAAAGCAAAAGAAGTATCAGGAGGATATTTGAGTCAATAATTTGTTAAAGTCTGTGAAGGTTTTTTTTTTTTTTTGGTGTTGTTAACTGATGTCTGGAGATAGTCTGATTTCCTAACTTAGTTCCTCTTGAGTAGCAGAAAATTTGAGGGATAGGGCAAATTACTCCTCTAAAATATTACTTCCTGTTACTGACAGATTGGTTATTCCACCTGATTATTCCAATTGATTAGGTAGCAAATTAACACAATTTTAAACATATTACAATGATTAGCCCCCTTTTTAAACAATTTCATATGTGATGTTTTGTGAGTTTTTGAAAAAAATATACACATATCTCATCATTTCTAGTGTTTTAAGTTTAAGTAAAATCTGACCTATAATTTTTACCCAATTATATGTCTTAATTTAATTTTAATGTAATTTACTGATTAATGTAATTTACTGAAGAACTCCAAAAAAGAAGTAAAGTTTTATTTCCAAAATAATAAAAGTAAACTAGATTTCCGATGTTTCTGCTGAGAGCAGAATATGTTCACTGATGAAGAACTTTCCAAGTTTTAGAAATGCTGGACTCACTAAACAAGATGTTTCTGACCAAATAGTCCATTGTGCTGTTTGCATTATCCAGTTTTCCCACTTTCATTAAACAAACACCTCAACAAGTTCTTGTCCCATTTTACTGTCAGGAGTAGAAATCTGCACTGCAAAATGTTTACCCTCAAGAACCCCCAAAGTGGAACTTCCACAAACTGCTCTAGAGTGTGTAGATTTAGAAGAGTGATTGACATGTGAAGATTCAGACTTACCTTAAAGTTAATCAAGCCATCTTCCAAAGTTAGGAAATATTTTATAATTTTACAGTCTTGGGGTCTGTAGATTTCAAAAATTGGAGTTAAGGAATCCTGCAATAAATCTACAATATTCTGGAGTCATTAATTAGAAGCTAATTTACAAACAATATGCAGTGAAGAATTTCTGATATCAGGAGATGTGAATAGTTTAATAAAAGGGACAAATATTAATGGCTGAATAGAATTGTAACTAATTTCCTAAAGTATGAAACTGAGCAGAGTAAGCACATATTCTCAATGTTTTAATTAACATTTTATCGTTTTAATGTTTAGATTTTAATTCATTTTCTTATCTCTAAAAATCTCAACCTCCAATTTTAAAAAGTAGATAACTTTTGAAGTTGCTAAACCAGTGGAAAATGAATCCATTCTTAGCATTACTAATCACACTATTTATTCATTTAGAAAATGCTGGAACTTTAGGTAAATCAAGTATAGGGTGAATGGAGCAAAAATAATTTTACTACTTAAACCTAGATGAAAAGGATATCTTGTGAATTTGTAAGGACAGGATCTATGGGTCTCCACCACCTTCTTAATCTTATCTTCTATTGCAATTAATTAGATGTTTTGATAAAAGCAAATATGCCACATGCAATAGCCAAGTAAATTCTATATAAGGCCATCCAGATCTGATAAATGACAGTATAATGGCATTTTGTTCATTCTGTAAAGATTATATTGCTGAATGCTTTCAAAATTACCTAATGTACAAAATTTTTGACTTAGTAGACAAAGAGTAACAACACATCAGTTTTAAAGAAATAAAACCCAGGGAGAGATTCCATCTTGTTTTGTTTTGTTTTGTTTTGTTAAAAACCATGTATTGAATTTAATTTTTTAGTAAAGCAAGCATTACATAATGCTTCAAAATCTTAAAATTCAGAGGGTAAAAGTTTACATCCAAAAAGATGAATGGAAAAATTGTGCTTTCAGACTGTAGAATTAGTTCTTTTTTTTTTTTCAGGGTTAACCATTTCACCTTGCCATTGGGTGCTGGGAATTTCATCAATGTAATGTATACATGTGCAGTTCATATCCAGGTTCTGCCAGAAAAAAAAAAGGAAGAAAGAAAGAAAATCAAAAACTCTGTGCTTCACTTCATGTAGCAAAGGCACCTATGTTATTCTCCCTTTTGAGCAAAAGTTATGATCCAGTTTTCTTGCTTGAAAACATCTTCACTGCTACGTCACTCGCTTGCTCCATGCTGAAGAGTTCAGTGAGTCCTACAGAAAGCTGTCTGTGAATCCTTGCTCAGCTGGAAGAAGTTTGCTCTGTGGACCATTTGAAGAAGCTCTGGATTGATCACAAGGGAAACCGAGCAGAACTGTGAAGCAGACGGACAGGAACAAAAGGCTATTCTGGTGTGAGGAGAAATCAGTCACTTCAGCTCCACAAGCAGATGTTACTGCTGGACTGACAAGTAGAACCAACCCCGGCTGGAGAAAGGTACAGTTTGCCATTGGGGCAGACACATAGTTCGTACACTGTCTGTCGAGAATTTGAGAAGCTGGGCGAAGATGTAAAGGAGCCAATGGGTAGATTTCCCAGCCGGATTGTATCTGCATTTAGAAATATCTAGAGGGAAAAGAAATTACATTTTAATTCCTGTCAGCATTCTACATCACCCCTGAGCTTTGGTAGCATGGTCTGATAAGAAAGAATACACCACAAGTGATTCTGCTGGTTTAGAGGCCATGCTTTGTTGACCAAACAAATTACAATCCTACCGTGTAGTAGAAACACTGTGGCTGTCTTCTCCTTTGAGATACGGTGCATTATGATAGAAAGCCCTCAATCTGAAATGGAATATTGTACAATCTGCTTTGGGGGCCAACCTACTCATTGAAGCACACGGAAAATTAATGACTTTGATAGTCTCGAAGCCGGAATTCTTAATCATGCTTAAACAATCTGTTTTTTTCTTAATAAATCTTGGTGTGTGTGTGTGTGTGTGTGTATGTGTGTGTGTTGGTACTCACAGTCTAATAGTTTTATTAAGTAATCAACACAACTAGCAAGAAGTAATCATTGTATATAATCAGATTTGAAAACTCCATGAGATGTATCTGTTTTCAACACCTACTTCTCTAAATACATACTTTTAAATTTTTTAAAATTAATTTTAGATTTAACTTATTTTTCTCCTGAACTTCAAAAGATTGTATCAGTAGATTACAACTAAATATGTACATCGAAGTCTCCCATGATTCCTTTCCAGAGCCTCCATCCCATCATTCTCCCTAGACCATCTGTTTTCTCCCCTCAGACTTATTATCTTCGTTAAAACTTTTAATTTGGGGAATTGCTTCAATTATCCCCAATGCTAGAGTCTGAATTTTCAGGGACAGGGATCATATGTTTTTGAGATGCATGAGAAAAGTTCCAAAGAGAAGGAAGAGTTACAAATCCTGGCACAGTTTTCTGTTTTTTGTTTTTTGTTTTGTCAGTTGTGGGGTTTGAACTCTGGGCCTGGGCGCTGTCCCTCAGCTCTTCAGCTCCAGGCTAGCTCTCTACCACTTGAGCCACAGCGGCACTTCCGATTTTCTGTGTGGTTTATTGGAAATAAGAGTCTCAAGGCTTTCCTGCCCGGGCTGGCTTTGAACTGCGACCCTCAGATCTCAGCTTCCTGATTAGCTAGGATTACAGGCATGTGCCACGGCACCCAGCTTTCTGGGTCTTTTTACATCACATTTTATGTAGTTCTTCTGCTTTTAGAACCAGTTGTCTTTAAACTGCTGTGGCTTATGTAAAATAATTACAGAGATGGATATTTTAGACAAGTAAGACCTGCAGGTGACAGTCTCAGAAATCATGAATCAACTGTGGAGCTCTTCAAGAATGCGGTAGGCCTGGGAGAGCTTGGTCTTGAACGGTGTGTACGGGGCTGTTTCAGTGTGGTCACAGTACTGCTCTTAAGCCCTTCATCCATTCAGGGACAATTGTAGACATGTTTAACTACATGACAATATCTAAATTCCATATATAATCAGATGAGACACAAGCTATATCTTCACCATGGGAATGAAATTGATTTTATCAGTCAAAACATGCATTTGTTTGGTGCCTTTCAAGACAGTTAAAAATGCTCTTTTCTCTGTGTAAGATAGACACACTAATTGTCAGGTTAGAAGAGCTGTTATCTCTAGATTCCTTCTAGAGTCTCTTAGGTTACTGTAGCATGGAAAGGCCTGAACACACATTCCCATTCTGTTAAGGTGGTTACTATGATGTTGTCTACTTTCTGATTTCTAAACCTGATATGCCTATTCCCTATTGTCTTATAGACCACATAATCCACTTGATTTGAAACACTTCCCTGTGATTAGAATCCATTATGCTAAGCTGTTAAGTCAGAGTTCGCCCTTTTCTCTACCAAGAATCCATCATTTGATTCTGCTGAAATCAGCCCTGTAACTATTCTTCCTGAGAACTTTTGATGCAAACATGTGACATACATATATGTGATATGTATATGCATTATTGTATGTATATGTGTTATATAATTTGTAATATATTAATTATAATAATTCTTGCTTCTTCAGAGCTAAGTTTGAGATTCTTCTAAGCATTATTTGAAATGACTTTGGACTGTCTAAAGTATGCAATCTATGTCAGGTTTATTCTGCTTTTCTGCTATGATATGTACAGTTTATTCTGCATTTCCCCCTATTTTTTACAATTGAAGGCAATTTCTGTTCTTATATGAACTACTTAAAAAGCAGAAGCTAAGGACTTTATATTCTTCAACCTTATTTGATAAATGATCAATATGACTTTTTGTGACACAGTCAATGTAGCAAGGAGAGTTCTTTTATATCATTTCATACTTCCTCAGACAAAAATACAAATCATTTATTTATACTTTATCATCAATTGGCAATTAAATGATGTGCTGTAATTGAATTAAATATTTTTTCCAATACATTTATGAAATGAACATGTAGAAGATTCATAAATGGGAGCAGAAAAGAGGTTGATAACCACTAATATTTTTATAGAACACTCATTATAAATAACTAGAATGGAATAATTAGTATGAAAAAAAGCAACTCTAACACCATAACAGATATTTAAGACACATTTTTATTTTTGTGTAGAAAGTATCACAGTCTGCAACTGTATTGGGAAAAAATTTGTAACAGTAAAATATGTAGTGTTAAAGTTTTGTAAGACAATTTTTCTAAATAATTTCACTGTATTGGCCACTAAGGCATTAGTATGGTCTTTCCAGTAAGTCTGTTTATAATATGGAGGCAAAATAAACAAGTAAAATTTATCTTGACTCAGCAGCCAAGTTAATGGAAGAAATGTAAGATTTTGGTAATTAATCATTACATAAGTATACCTTAAAAGCCTCTCAGACAGCCTTCCATTATTATTCTCCACTTGACCTTAGAGAGCTCACAAAAAAACATAGATAAGCATGTGAAGGAGGAACAAAAGAAACTAACTAGTGAGAACAGATACAAACAAACTTACATCTTTAATGATTTTGGTGGTTGTAGTTAAAAAAATACCACCCAAAATACTAATTAGGTAGACGGATTTAAAATAATTAAGGTAAAATTAAAAACAAATAAATACATTTTATAAAAAACTAAAACAAACCCACAACTACCAAGATGTCCAGTCAGGTTTGCAAAAGAACAAATGAAAATTGTAGAAACAAACAAAGACATAATCACTGTAATTAAAAGTCAATTGCTTAGATTAAGTAGAAGATTAGTTACTGCAAGGATCCTGGGAATGTATACTTGAATACACAAGTAGACTGAGGCAGAGGGAGACAGGGCAATGGACACTGGAAAGGAGAGACTGAGACACAGTAAGAAAATAGATAGCTATGTACAGATGATCGTATAAAATAATATTCTATGAAATGAACCTCAAGAGAAGGAAATGAGACATTCTTTAGCTGCCATTGTTGCTGTATTTATTTCCTTTTCCTTTAGTCTTGCTTGTTTGTCTGTATTTGGGAGGGTAAGTGGGCACAGAACAGGTGGAACAAGGGTGAACAAACACAACCGTGGTACTTATTAGATACAGTACGGAAAACGAATTGTAATTTTGTGGGTTGGGAATGGAGAAAAAAACTGAAAGCAAGGGAAGGGAAGACATATTTCAGAAAGAATTGAACTCATTACTCACTACCTGTTTCATGTAACTGTAAACCTTCTGTATATCAAGTCTACAGTAACAATAGAAAAAAACAGAAGGGAAAGTATAACGTTTCTTTAGAGTTTCAGCAAAAGACCATAGAACTATGGAAGAGATGAAGGAGGGTTAAATTAATTGGCAGAGATAGCTAGGAATTTTTTAGACGTGAAAAATGAGTAAGTCTGTAGAAACACAATTACAAGATATACAGCAAATACGTAAATGAAATAAAGGTTTGCCTATCTCATTTCGGTGAGAAGTGAACCATAACATAAGAGATATTTAAAGCAGGCATTCAGGGGAAAAAAATGGATGAAGAGGCCAAAAGATTAAAGAAGATTCCTAAGATGGAAAAAGTAACATAGAAGACAACTATTAGCATATATATCTTTAGGATACTCTCAGATTAAGGCAAATAGAAAAATAGGGTTCTTTCTTTTCTTTCAGTTAATATAGATACCATTCCTACTGAAACAATAAATTAAACATTCAAAGTACTTTTAGAAGAACTTTCTTTTTTTACAGTAATGAGGACTGAACCCATGCTTTTGCACATGATAGGCAAGTTTTTTGACACTGAGCAGCTACATTCCTAGACCTTGATTAATTTTTTAATTGACACATAAAATATAGACATTTCAATTATTTATGATGGTACCATGTAATTTATACAAATTTCTATAGCATTCAAGCCCAGCTAAACATAGCTATGTCTTCAAATGTCAATTATTGTTTTAAAAATTGAGAAAGGAGGTCTTTACCAAGGTATGAATTTAGGGCTCAAACTTTCTAGACAAGCACTCACACATTTGATCCACACCCAGACTTTTATAATTTAGCATTTTTATTTTTATTTATTTGATTACTTATTTGGCTAAAATATTCCAGATTTGCCCTACCTGTGTTTGCATTACAATCTTACCTCTGCCTCCAAAATAGCTGGCAATTCAGTTTAGGCCACCACATCTGGCTTTTATTCATACTGGAAACTTTGAAACCCTTTCTTCTACCTTTATGAAATCTACAGTATTTACTTTGTTGTCATGCACAATCATCAGTTTGTAATTAAGTATCTGAACTTTTGTTTCTATCTGATTTATACCCATCGATCATCCTTTAACAACTTGTTTGAAGATCCCAAGCAAGCCATACAAAATAGACTACCTTCATTCATGTTACCTTGTTGATGTTAATTGTACTTATATGCACATTTTGAAACGAAAAAGCTTTATTTGCCCACATCTAATGTCCTATGGGTTGATACTTTTAAGAAAAAGATATATGCAGTTTTTAATTCAAAAGAGTACCCTCACATTGATTACACTTCACATTCAAGAATTATTAGTATTTACATAATTGAATTTTCTACCAAACTGTAGTTTAGGTTTGGCAGGAAACACACACACACACACACACACACACACACATACACACACACACACACACATGTATACATATGTTGACAAGAGGAACTCACCTCTCCTTCTGTAGACTGCAAATGGAGCTCTTTTCTGCAGGTAGCCTTGAAGTCACCTGCAGCAGCGCTCACCTGGACCCCGCGAGGAGCTTCCATTATCAAGGATCTAGTTGGTGATTCAAGTCTAATGGAAAAATGAAAATATCATTCACAGAAATGAGAAAAATTATGATGAACCAAAACACAGCATCAGTCAACCAGAAACAACCACTTAAAATTCCAAACAGGAAGGAATACATAAAAATCCTTTCCATACCTAGCAATAATTTCAAGCCAAAATACATTTGAGAATGATTTTTATTGCCATGTCCACTTTGTGGCTCCTTATTACAATGCTCATTTGTTCATATTAATTATTCACTTCCATTAATATAATGATATAATAACAACTTGTATGGTGTCTTCCTTATATTGCTTATGGTAAGTAGGTCAAGATAAGTTTACTTGTTTAAATCTTTTATACATTATCAATATTAATGATGGTGTTGGAATAAATAAATTGGTCCAATTTAGTATTTACATATTCTTCACCAAAGAGCTCTAGCTATGCAAAGAGGAAAACTTAAATGAAAATCATTAATATTATATGTTTTCAAGAACACACAGTGAATATTTTTTAACTTGACAATATTTCAAAGTATCTGTATTTTTAATTAAAGAAATATCACATTTCATATTTTGAAATGTCCTCTCTTGCCTCAGTAAAATGGGCACAGAATGAATAATGTCAATCTAAGCAAAGAATAGAAAGAGGGATAGTATGCAGAAACTGAAATACAATAATACATAGTACTGGTATGAGATTCAGCATACACCAGTTGGTCTCCTTAGATAACACCATCATGGTGACCAAATCTTGTTTTCCTTTTGAGAATATGACATTATGACTAACCTTCTCAAGCCCTAAACACAACAATTGATTTCTTTTGAAGCAATAAATATATGCATAGTTGTTTTACAGAAACAACTACATAAAATACAACTCTGAAGTTCATGTACCTCTAAAGCAGATAAATTGTGAAAGTGGTGTGGAATGGGAGAATCTTTCCTTCAGAACGTAAACTCAGTATGCAAATTGTTTAGTTTTCACATACTAAAGTGACTTTGATACCTCATCTCATATTGTCTTTTAAGTGGACAGGGTTCTAAATTATCTATTTTTCAGATATATCTTTATGTTTTTTAAACACATTCTCTGCAACACTTCAAAACTTTATAATAAAATCACTCATAATCCTAAAACTTAGTATGAAAAAAATGCTGTTAATAACTGCACATCACACACAAACTTAAAAAATGGGGATGTTAAAATTAAAATGATTAAACACATCAGAAATGTTATAAAACATTTTCTTAATACACAAATGCATACCTCTTGGGTAGTGTATTTGTAACCAGTACTATTCCCTTTGTGATTTTTAATTTTTGTTTTGTTTTGTTTTTTTGTTATGGAGCTGGAACTCTGGGCTGAGGTGCTGTCCCTCAGCTCTTCAGTTCAAAGCAAGCCTTCTACCGCTGGAGCCACAGAGCTACTTCCAGTTTTCTGGTGGTTAATTGGAATTAAGCCTCAGGGATTTTCCTGAACCACCATCCTCACATCTCAGCCTCCTGAGTAGCTAGGATTACAGGCCTGAGCCATGGGCGCCTGGCCTGTGATTCATATTTTAGGACACTGTTTTCCTATTCATTTGATGGTTCCTTTTGTAATAATTGGTGGATGATGGGAAAAGGAGGTAAATCTTTTGAGTTTCTTAAAGTTATGGACATCCTGAGAAGCCTTAATTATTTTGATATATCTAGAGTATTTATTAATATTATCAAAAACCTCAGAAGAAATTTGAGATGAGTGAGTACCTTTATTTCAACCTGTAAAGGCACTGTTTTCTTGATTCTTATGGTAGTGGAGAGAGGAGAAAACTCAACAAAATTGCATATAATTTATTTGTGTTCTTAGGTCAAACCTTAAAAAGTGGGATGTTTACTCCTTACGTGTTGGAGTTTGGGGGTGGGTTTGACTAACTCAGGAATAACTCTGGAATGACTCAAAATAACTTAGGATGAAAGCTATCCAAAGAGGTAAGACTCGTCAGCTTTGGTGAATGAACCTTATAGCAGATGCCAGTTTGGAAATAGGAGGCTTCCAATGAACAAATACCACCCTCAAATACTTTGCTATGGTATAAAACCTTTGGATAACCACTCAGCAACTCAGCACAAGGAAAAAAACCAATGACAATAAGTTGATTAGGTAAGCTTCTGATATTCAGCACGGTGAAGAACAAATCTAAACTAGAATTTGTAAGAATATTTTCATTCCTTTGCAATTAGTTATTCGGCTTAAGACATAAGATTTCTAAACATATTTATGGCTGAGATGGGATGTAAAATTCTTAGAAAAGTTGTGACAGTTTTATATATTGCTAAATTCCTCAAGTGCTAGAGTAATTGAGACCCTGGATTAAATACATTTCAATTGTATATTCTGCTAGTCTTGATAAAAATAAATGTAATACATATTAGGAAATAATGGGATGTAATTAAATATAGCATTGTCTTCTGCTAAGTATGCAGAGTATTCATACAAGTAATATATAAGAAGAATTTTTAATTAATTACAGACTGTTCAGTTGAAAATAGGCAATAAACATTTGTTAAAATAATTGGATTTAATTCTATTTTCAAATGAATACATTGCAGTCATCAAGCTTTTCTCATAAACAGGAATATTAAAGCAAGCTTATGAATGATTTAATAAGATTTCCTGACTAGCAGAGCAAAGGAACTAATTTTTATGGGACAAAATTATAACAGGAAGGCAATCTATGAAGAGACCAAAAAAAATTCAAACTGACATGGAGAATGTGAATATCAAATTTTCATAGAGACTATTAGCAGATGCAATATATCTGACTGATTGCAAGTATTTGTAACATTGAAAATATATTCTATCTCTCTCTTTCACACAAATGCATACATGTGTTTTTACATGTGCCCTGCATAGCCATCAAAATGCCAAGAGGATTAAATACAATGCATTTTGACAATAAGACAGCAATTTTTCCATTGTAGTATAATTTTATTTATGGTTTGTCATACTGTATCCAAAGAACAATATAGAACAGATAGCTTAAAAATTTTTAATATCTGACATAATGGTAAACATCACATATTATGAAACAACAACTTATCAAACGAGTTCATGATTAAGTACATATATGTTTCATTGACTTTTATAAATAGTATTTGCCTAGGTCTTTTTAGAAATTGTAGTTGTAGAACTCTTTTATAAATTTCAAAATAATAGAAAAGCATTCTCGCTATATTGAAAGTTTCACTGCACACTGTACAGTCATGCAAATTAGACCCAAGCAGCATCCTGGGAAACTGAAACTTAATTAATATGGACAATAGTTATGTATGCCAATCTAATGAAAGAATTAAAAGTAGGACTTTGAATAAGAAACTACATATGAATTCTAATTTAAATTATAAGGCCAGTTAAACTCTAGAGCTTGTTTCCTAATAAATGATACCATATTCCTAATGTACTTTGAAAATAGAGTATAATCACAATAAAATATTATGAGGACTTGTCTTTCTTTACTAGTGAGTTAACCATATGATTACAATTATGTAGTACAAGGTAATTTCAACACTGAAAATATGTCTATTTTTAAAACTTCATATGATTTAAAATGTTTATGCTAATAATAAGAATTGGGGATTGGAATGATTTATTTATTTACAATTTCTGTAACATTAGGGTGGATGGGGGAATTAGGTAGTTGTTTACCCAATATCTCAGAATCTTGAAAGCAATCTTGAAAAGAATACTATTAAAGAACTAAAAGCAGAACTATAGTAATCAAAAACAACAAATTAATTGAATAAGGACAAATCTCATAGTCTTTCACTTATATGTTCATCCAAATTTTGTCAGAGGTAATAATGTTATCTAGTGAGAAGAGCAAAGTCTTTTTTTTTCTACAAATAGTGTTGGAAAAACAGAGCCAGTATATAATAAAATGAACTCCAATTTACATGGCATACCCCAAAGTGAAAAAAATATGACAGGTTATAGAGTTCAGTGACAGTTGCTCATTTGTATAATCTTAGCTACTCAGGAGGCTGAGATCTGAGGATTGCAGGTCAAAGCCAGCCCAGGCAGGAATGTCTGGGACTCATATCTTCAATTAAATACAAAAAAGCTGGAATTGTAGCTGTGGCTCAAGTGGTAGAATTCTAACTTCAAGAAAAAATGATCTGGGGCAGTACCCATGCCCTGAGTTCAAGCCCTAACATGGAGAAGGGATAAAAATAATGAAAACAAAAAATGTTATAAGGGGAAGATCATCTTTGAGTTGATGGTAGTCAAATGATCTATGGCCACAACAGAGGAGTAGGAAATATTTTCCAAGGAAATTTAAATGTTTCCAAAATTAAAACTGTTTTTCAAGGTTACCACTGATGAGGTGAACAGGTAGTAAAAATACTGAGGAACAGGACCCACTCTAACACTCTTCTATAGCAAATAACTGATGTCATTCTATCAGTCTCTTTTACAAAAACTAACACCAGTGTTCCTTGATCTATTGCATCAAATATTAAGGATCATCTCAATAGATTCTGGAAAAGTATGTAACCAAAATAAAAACAAAACCCTTTATAATAAAAGCACTGATGAAACTAGGTATGTAAGGATGTCCCTTAACACAATAAAGAGTATGGAATGTAATCTCATGGCCAGCATAATACTAAATAGGAAAACCTGAGATCATTCCCTCTAATATAAGGAGTAGGACAAAGATTACCTTCTCCACACTATTATCCAGTATAGTTGTTGAATACTTATCTAGAACAACAGTACATATAATTAACAAAGAAGGAAATCAAATGATCTTTTTGCAGCTGATATGATTTTATATGTAATAGACACTAAAGATTCTATCAAACCACTGGGATCTGATCCACAGTTTTAGCAAAATCGCAGAATAAAAAAGGGATATATGAAATAAACTCAACCTAGGAGGTAAATTGTATCTAATCATGAAAACTATAAAGCAGTAAAGAAGTCAGCTGAGTAAGATACAAGAAGATGGAAATATCTACCATGTTCTAAACTGG